CAAAATAGATGATCCTAGTCAATTTATAAGTAATCTTGTAAAATTGAACGTAGTCTTATTTCGATCTCTTTCCTAGAGAACGTACTTGATGCAAGTACTTGATTACTTGCTAAGTATTTGTCGATGATCGAAATACTTGCCTTATTGCTAAGAAGTACTTTCTGAAAGTACTCGACAAGTAAGGACAAGTACCTACAAGTAAAGTTACTTCTGGAAAAAAGGCAAGTACCGGCTTCATTGCGCCGACGAAGTACTTAGTCCAAGTACTTGACCCCAAGTATGTTCTCTAGGGTTGTATTTATTAGAAGTCCAAGGGCTTCTATTACGTCGGAAAAATAATTTAAATTTTTTAAACGACACATTTGATCGACACGCGTTTTTTTACTTTAACATCACATACTTTATTCTTGTGTGATGTCGTGTGTAAAAAAAGGAAACGAATAAAATTTACATTTTTTATCTCGAAAAAGATTTTTTTCAGATTAATTGAGATTACCGTGATTAGAAAGGCAAGAGTATCGAAATTGGGTTAGCCAATAATCACATGGTGCAGGGTCAGGTGAATGTGGGGGGTGCGGCATTATATTGATACCTTCTTCTATTAAATAATTAATAACATCTGAATGAGTATGAGGTCGAGCATTGTCGCGAAGCAATTTTATACCCTTTATACCGAATGACTTTCTTTGTTTCCATACTTCTTTGACAACAGGCTTGAGGCAATTTTCTATATAATAGTTGTGATCTATAGTATTACCTTTATCAACAGCATGTATAAGAACAGGACCATTTGATTTAAAGAAAATAGAAAATAAAAATAATTTGGTTCAAATTTACTTCGACGAACAATAGTGGTTGGTGATTCACCTTCGCCAACCTAGCTTGTGTTTGTTGACTTGTGACCAATCTGCCTATAGTAAATCCATGTCTCACCACCCGTAATAATATTACATAATCGCCAGGAGCCACCACGAAATTTCGTCAAATTTTCACGACAAAGTCTAACTCGTTCTTGCTTTTGTTCATCAGTCAATTGATGAGGCACCCAACGTGATGTAACTTTTCTCATCTTGAGGCATTCGTGGATAATTCGTTCTATTGTACCATGAGAGAGAGAAGTCTCAGCTGTACTATCATCATAAGTTGAATGTGGATCATTGTTGATAAACTGTCGTACCAGTTCAATATTTTCATCTGTAAGTTCGGAAACTGGACGACCAGATCGAGGTTCATCATTGACATCTTCTCTCCCTTCACGGAAACGCTTTGCCCACCTTGCAACTGTTCGATATGATGGAGCATTGGGTCCCAAAGCTGTTGTGAGTTCTTCGTGAATTGTCGTTGGATCTATTCCCAAACGAGTTCGAATTTTTATATAGTATCGATCGAATTCATTATCCATTTAAAAATTTTTCTTTTAGTTCGATTATCTGAAAAAATATTGTAACTAACTCCAAAATAGAGTTACTATATACATCATTATAGACAAGACATTCCACTATTTATTCGTGCAAAAGACTCTTTGATGTTAATTGGTTTATAAAATTACCAGTACCGATGACAGAACTTTTGGTCACCCCTAAGTACATTCGTTTTCTTTCTTTCGTCTTACAATGTTGAATTACCAAATTAATCATAAAAAATAGTTTTTTTTATTAAAGCAACTAACTAATGTCATGCGTCCGTAGACTAGATTATATTCTTCAGTATTAAGTTACAGATCGCTCTAACTAAACCATGGTCATGGCCTTCTATTATTTTCGCACATCGCACTTTTTTGGTGAAAAACTGCCGTACCCCTCCCTGGCGTTTTTCAAAAATTTCGGCTGGTCTTCTAATATGGGGTGGCCTTCTGTTTTATGGGGGGGGAGGATATTTCTTATTGTATTTTCCAGTGTGCGAGTGTGTATACATCTTCGTAAATAGGTTTTTGCATCTTAGATATAAGTATTCAATACACAAGTTTTATAATTATTAGGATGATGTTGAAGTTACTCTTATTGTTGCAGCCGTTTTAACCAAGCATTTTATCTTTCGTATGTAAGAGTAAGAGACTTGAATTTATCATCGAACTTCATGAAAAAGAAAAATCTTCGGTTGCCGATGACTGTTGCGTTGACTGTTTTGTCTTAATTTAATAGAAAAAGAAAATAACCCGTTGTCTGCTTTCGTATTTGCTAAAATTGTGCAGAAACGAAATAAACTCTTTCTTCAGCTATTGTTTGTATATACAGTCTAATGAACTTATTTGGTCGTACATGTCGTTTCAAGATCATTGAAAATACCGAAATGTACTACATGTCAAAATGTTTTAAAATTTCATAGATGTATGCAGACACTTAATGCCATTGAC